CACACACACACACACACACACACACACACACACTGATTTACTAAGGATAACGTACATGCCCGACATTGGTCGTTTGGAATCAACAGCGGCTGGTCCCAAGGGATGTGCACAATCAACCATTCGCTTCTCCACATAATCAATCACCGAGTCAACTTGGTTTTAGGGTTCGCTGAGAAACAGTCGCCAAGCACAGGGCAATGAGAAGACCCCCTTTTCCATGTGCATGACCTCGTCGATTGCCGCAAATGACGTAGCCAGATAGCCAGATAGCCAGATAGCCTGATAGGCAAACAGCCAGAGAACCGGAGAGGGATTCTATTCTGGTGTGGGTTGCCTGATGAACACTCGCCACTCACTGATTCACACAGACAGATAGCCAGATAGCCACATAGCTGGATAGCCAGGAAGCCAGCGAGTGTGCTAGTTGATACCAGCATACTACTCTTAACTTAGGTTGGCTGAGGACCATGCCAGAAGTCAACCAGACGCTGAGCACCACTTCTTTTCATCTTCTGGCCTCAGCCAGGAAGATAGGCAGGCAGATAGCTGGATAGCTGGATAGCAAGATAGCCAGAGAGCCATCTGTGGACCATGCCAGATAAGCAGGTAGGCAGATGGGCAGCCAGGAAGATAAGCAGGCAGATAGCTGGATAGCCGGAGAGCAAGATAGCCAGAGAGCCAGAGAGGCGTACTCTACTTTGGGTTAGCAGTCACATGGCATTCTTCAGCCTTTCTTTGACTGTACACCATGCCACATAGCGTGTTATGTGCAGATAATCACATAGCCAGGCAGCCAGGCAGCCAGATCACCAGATATACCATATATAGGGACAGATAAACACGTAGCCCGATAGATAGCCAGATAGCCAGATAGTCAGATACCCAATATAGCCAAGACAGTTGAACAGATGGCTATCGCAGGATTGCTGGTCTTGGTTAACCGAAAAGGTACCCAGTCATTCAGCAAGATAGTTTCTTCTTATTGTGGCGCTTCGTATAGCGTTGTTGTGACCAAGATCGAAAGGTAACGAAAGACTTCCAAAATCTGGGGATGAAAAACAAAAAACCAATGGATTTGATTCGTTTGTCGGGAGGGGAGGAGGACCTGTACATACCCCTTTCCTTTGAGAAAGCCATGTCAGCAAGCTGTCACTTGTCAGTTGGGGAGATGTCGATTTCTCTTGCGAAGACTTCATCACCCCCTCCTCCTGAGGTGCACCATATGCTTTGCCGGTTCCATTTACTTCTGGCGCTTTGCTATGTGTCACTGTAGACGAGCGAATGGAGCCCATGGCCACTGTCTGTGCTTGCTTGGCCGGCATCTGCTCTCCCGATTCTTCTTCCGTTCTCGTGCTGGTCAACAAGGTAGCCCCGGTCCATTTGTGCAGCATCTCAGTCTGTTTCTCCTGCGTGTCATCATTGGCGTTGGCGTATCGCGTCCGCTTCCGCGACGTGGTCATGATGCTACCACTGCTTATCCAACCAGGCAGTGGTCTTTTCTCCGAGAAAGACGGAGGAGGTGCTTCTAACACGGTAGAATCCCTGGTCGCGCTATCGATGGAACTCAAGTTTGTCCCGTTTCCCTCCTCGGCCGGCCCCACGGCCGGCGGTAGTGGTCGGGCCGATGCGGCCGTGCCGCTATTGCCATGATTCATCCAGCTCGGCAATGGCCTCTTCGTTGCTGTGTTACTCAACGGCTGAGCTGCACCAACCGGATCCCTTAGCCTTTTATCGGCCGCCGATGAGCCCCTCGACGGCTCCTTGTCCTCCTTTGCAGAATCCATGCACGAGTCTTTTGAGGCTTTGTTCGTTGGCGAACTGCACGGCTTCCGTATATCTCGCTCCAAATCATTGGGGATGTCTGACTCAGCACCTGCATTTGCCACGTGACTATCGATCTGACATTCCACCTCAGCTCCATTGGGGATGTCTGACTCAGCACCTGCATTTGCCACGTGACTTGAAGGCAGCGACAATTGGTTGTCCTCCATGTACATCACCAGCTTGATATGCACATATGTCACCTGCCCAGGCGAACAAGGCATCACGCAGCAGTTATCTTTATTATTAAAAAAAAAAACACAGAAATCAACAGATTCAACAGATGTTTGCAACATCATAACAGATATCACTGCATGTCTGTGAAATTATCGTTTAGAAAGAAAAAAAAAAAACAATACAACAACTCAAGCCATCCTTAACTCAGGCAAAGTTTAGGCATCATTAACTCAGTCAAAGGTTAATTTAATTCTTACTTCTTCTTAGTTTCATATGCTTGAATCTTTCTTCCTTATTAATGATAAACCACCCCTGCCTTGCTGAGGCTTTCTTATTAGGTGTTAAACCACCACTGCTTTTTTTTTTTTTTTTTTTTTTTTTTTAAATTTTAAAGGTGATAAACCACCACTACCTTGCCGCTATTGCCATGAGGGCCTCTTTTTGGCGAGGTGGAGCAGGACTGCGCGCCAAGCTTTGGCTGAAGTGCTAGCGTGGGCTTTTTTCATTTTGTTTTGGCTGGCGCCACCGGCCCTTTTGGTCCAGTGGCGCCCGGCCTCCACTGGCCTGAAAGGTAGCGGTGGGTTATCGGATAATATCAATAACACTTGAGAAAAATCCTGAATGTAATACAATACATATATTACGTATATATTAGAACTAGTTAGTATTTAGCGTTTACTCATAGCTTAGAGTTTAGGGTTTAGGGTTTTAGGGCCTAAGGTTGTTTGGCTCGAGCCCCCATGTAATCTATTTAGGGTTTAGGGTCTCCCTCCCCTACACTCTCCTCCCTCTCTCTCTATCTCTATCTCCCCCTGACTGTCTCTCTCCATTTCTCTCCCTTTCTCTCCCTTTCTCTTTCTCTCTCTTTCTCTGACTCTCTCTCTCTTTCACTCTCTATGAGTTTCTATCTTGGTCTCACTCCCTGACTCTCTCTTTTTCTCTCCCCCTGACTCTCTCTTTTTTTCTCTCTGTCCCCTCCTCTTTTTCTCTGTCCCTGAGGGCCTGAGTCTCTCTCTCTCTCCCTGACTCTCTTTTTCTCTCTCCCTGAGAGGGTCTCCCTCCCGTACACTCTCATCCATCTTCCACGGACCACCTTCTCTATCTCCCCCTGACTCTCTCTCTCTCTCTCTCTCTCTCTCTCTCTCTCTCTCTCTCTCTCTCTCTCTCTCTCTCTCTCTCTC